AACGCTGGAAATCGCTACGCGACACATACACGCGAATAGCACGATGCTCCAAGCTGACTACAGGTACAAAATTTTTAAAAACGAAATATAAATATGGTGATGAGCTATCATTTTTGCGTGGGATCAAGGAGGGCAGAAAGTAAGTGTTAACACGCCGCAAAATGAGGTACCACATATCAGCCCTAACTTAAAAAAAAAAACAAAACGTAAGCGACATTTTTTTCAAAATTTAAAATTTGATGCAAAAATGCTACTAGAGCACCTAGATATCTACATACGTATGTATGTATGTAGATGCATTTCTGCATCAAAAAGGAAGATTTGAATATAAGGCCGGCTAGGTTTTTTTATTTGGGGTTAGGGATCGATATGTACGTATGTGCATACATATATAAATTTGTACATTAGGCATATGACTTTTTTGTTAAATTAAATATACATATGAAAGGAGGAGGAAACTCCGAGAAAAAAATTTATACTGAAAAACAACATACCTACATAACACATATTTGTGCATATGTATATAGAAAATTCCATGTCCAGGCGACCAAAACTTTGATCCTAGAATTTTTTTATTGACGTGTAATTTTTCATATACCTATCTACCTGCATACATATGTATTTACCCTGCAAACCATTTTTTTTCAGAGTATTCTGAATTGTAGAGAAATTTTAAAGAATTCGTAAAGATCTCATCCAATTTTTTCCGAATTTTCTAAAACAAAATAAGCTATGCACACTTTGATACTTTTTACGAAATTTCGGAAGAAAATCGGTAAAGCAATGAAAATAATGCTGTTATGTGAAGAATTTGATGCAGAATTTTTTCAGAATTTTGTTTATTTTTCGTGCGGAATTTTCTTGACGAGTTCGTGCCAACCACTTCATAAAATTTTCTTTGAAGATGCGTAAAAAAATCGTTACAGAAATGAGATACTCCTAAAGATTTCGTTAATTCTGTATAATTAATATTGAAAAAAATGTATTTTCCATGTATATGTATGTTTTTTTTTAAATTCATTTGGAGTACTCAGTATCGATACTTTAAAACATCGGGTTTTCTCGATCCTTTTGAGAATCGGGTTCGTAGTACTTTTGGTATCGATACTGCCCAACACTGGTATTTTTGTTGGGCTTACAGATATATTATATATGTATATATCGACTGCTGAGTGGAAGATCGACCTATCTCGGCAGCGAGCTCGAAAACGCCCTATCTCAAAAAACTTTTCAAGAACGACCTATTTCAGAATTTTATTGAAAAACAACCTATCTCAGAATGCGGTTCAAAAATGCCCTATCTCACTTCAAAATGTATTGAAAATGTGCTGATATAGGGCGTTTTTGAATCGGCAGCTGAGATAGGGCGTTTTTGAAACGAATTCTGAAATAGGACGTTCTTGAAAAGTTTTCTGAGATAGAGCGCTTTCGAGCTGGCTGCCGAGATAGGTCGATCTTCCACTCAGCAATCGATATATAGATATATTTGATCTTAGAAAAGAGCCATATGCCTAATGTACATATCGTTACCTTAATATAGAAATGCCCTATCTCACTTGTCGTTTAAATACAAAGAGCCATAACTAACTAAAAATCCAAAATTCACTTTTAGATTGATTATGATGCATTTGATCGAATTATGTGTCCACACATCGTTTTATTGCAATAAACGATTTTAGATAGATACGCCTTCTTTGCATTTCAGCGACGATATGAGATACATACGCATGAAATAACTAACTTGGAAAATAATTTTTTATCAGGTACTACAGCAGCGATGACGATACTTTCCAAAACGATGAGACAAACAATGACGATGAAGATGTCTGGGGACCTTTACCATCACCAAAAATGGATGAAGACTCCCAATCGAGCTTTTGCGCGCCATCAAATGAAGCCACCAGAGCTATTGAAATTGAGGAAAATGTTAAACCGGCTTTCACAGAAGTTATACAAAAATGTAGCGATAGCGCCGTCGAAGCGCGCGGCTTTGATCCGCTAGGAGCGAAAAATTCGACTGTAATGGTATTTGAAAGTTTGGCGCATAAAATTTTGACAGCTGGTTTGTCAGAAAATGATGTGGATGCCATTGAACTTAAGGTGGCATCGATTGTTTATGAAGAAATCGCAAATCGCCGCCAAAAGAGGCAAAGTAAAACCAAATAATGACAACAACAACAATAGTGATAATAAGTTAAATACATATGTACATACATATGTATATTTCTATGTACAATTTATGTATATAAGTAATTTTTAATAAATAATGAATTTAATGTTACATCAACATTTTTTTTTTGGGTCAAATGTTTTTGCTAGATTCATACGGGAGGCGTTTATTTTGAAACAGGCATAAGTCACTTGACCATATTAACCAACGTAAAATAAAGGACACTTTGCCAAATGATTTGGATTCCCAACAACTTGTATAATAAAAGTAACTTACCCATATCGTAATTTAAATCAAATATTTACTGATTAATTGTATGTTTTATTTAACTGTACAAGTTCCCCCGGTTGCAGCGAAAAACTAAGCCAAATCCTTTTCAAGGACTTCGCCATCCTTTGCTACCAAAATGCGTTTACCATAATTCATACTGCACGACGAAGCCAGCACAGAGTGGTTCAAAATTGGAATTTAATATTCATAATTCACCGCAGGCTTCATTTTTCAACCAACTTTTACTAAAAACCATGGATGATATATGGAAATTTCAGATTATACCTAATATCATAAAATAAATGCACCTAAATGAGACAGATTGTACCAAAAAAAAGTTACATCATTTGTATATAGTTTTTAATAATACTTTTTAAAAAATTAATACAAAATGTGGATGTACTTTAAAGTTGATTCGCTTTTTTAACTTATGTAAACAGTAAAGTCGGAATTGTAATGCCCTCTCCCCCTACGATTGTACTATATCGAAAAAAGTATACCCATATTTTTTTATTTTGAAATCAAAAAACATTTAGATGTCGCCCAAAGCGCTCAAAGTTTTCCATGTATTTTTATATGGGAAAAAACAACTTTTCGTAGAAATGATATAGAATTCTTGAAGATCAATATTTTTCGATCGGAAAGCTCTGGTTCTCTTCAGGATACTTTCAATAACAATACGCAATTAACATCGGTCGTCCCTCGGCAGACAATGGCAAACCACCGAGTGTAATTCTGCCATGAAAAACGGCTTCTCATAAAAATACAATTGCCGTTCGGATTCGGCGTAAAACTGTAGGTCCCTCCGCTTTGTGTGACAACATCAAGGCGCACGCCACAAATCAGAGGAGAAGCTCGGCCAAACACTAACATATGTGTAAGCACCAATCTATTATCATTATTATACCATTTCTACGAAAAGTTGTTTTTTTCCATATAAAAATACATGAAAAATTTTGAGCGCTTTGAGCGACCTCTAAATATTATTTGATTTCAAAATAAAAAAATAGGGGTATACTTTTTTCGGTATAGAACAATCCTAGGGGGTGAGAGCATAAAAATGCCGACTTTTTCTCATACATTTTTGGACCACCCTAAGTACAGCCGAAACTTAGCGTAACTTAATACCACGTCGAAATCTGTTTCATTTTGATTCTCTAAGTTCTACGTTCCTTTAAGTGAAGTTAAGTTGCCATAATCAGGCGTTCTGAGAAGTGGTTCTTTAGCAAAGGGATACCACTGAAATAGAGATAAATTAGGCACTAAAAAATTTATGTCGTTTTCCGCTTTTACATGGAATGACCCATATGTGACCACTCCCATTCGGTTTAAGTCAGGGATGGAAAATTATTATTATTATTTTTTTTTTATCTTAACCAAAAAATCAACATGTAAGCGCTACAAAAAAATTTTAACGATGTATACTCACATGATTTTCATTTTTCAAGCTTAGCCAATAAAAATTAAAAATAATAACTAAAAAAGAAATTATTGTTAATCGATTTTAATTTTTTCGTTCAAAAGTAATGATAATAATTACTATTGAGTTTTATTTTTTCACTTAAGCATAATAATTATTCAAAAAACTTGAAAGCCGTACTAGCGGGATTTCCAACGTATCTCTTCATAAGTGGCGGACACCCTAATAAAACGTAATATGTAAATGTCAAAACTTTCAGGTAAAATTTCAGTTGGTTGCTTCTGTATGGCCTTTTAAATTGCATAAATAACCATAAAGTGGACAAATAAAAATTAATAATAGATAATTATTACCACTGTGCGAAAAAATTAAAAATGATAAAATAATCATTATTTGTAACCGACTAAATAAAAATCAACTAGAAATTATAGCCACTGAAAAAAATTAAACTAAATAATAATTATTATCTTTGAAAGAAAAAAAATTATAAAATAATGATTGAATGCTGATTTCAGTTATTTTGCTCATGATAAAAACATAGCAAGGTATAACCGTTCTCTCAATTTGTCGGCCATGATTTTTTTTTGAAGTTTGCCAACATTTTAAAATCATATAAAAGTGAAAATAAAAAATTGAAATTGTTCGAAATTGTTGTTGCTTGAGATTGAAAATGAAAATGTGTGTGTGAGTTTGTGAGTAAATTTAAAAATTAAATTGTTTGGAAACGTCAAGAATCTTAAAAGTGACTCTCAGCGGTTCTACCTTACTATATTTTTATCATGGTTTTGCTTACATGTAATGAGTACGGCACCTGATTTGAGCAGATTTTGAAACAAACTTTCTGCACTTTATTCCAAAGAGAAAAATTTGTTCTGTAGTTATGTAACATCCATACATATATACATATTTATTAAGTATTGTTCCCTCACTTGAAAAGCGCTCATCTCCGGAATGCAACAAAATGAAAGAGAATCCAAACGAAGAGCGAAAAATCGTAAGAGCGAAAAATCGCAAGAGCGTGAAACCGTCGTCGTCAACGCGACGTCAACTCGTCACAAACGAGACGTCTCGACGTTAACGAACAGTTGGCGATGCGAGCGCAAAATAGAAAGACGTCGTAGTTGTTCAATTACATTAAAATAATTTTCAGCTTGAAGCTAGATACTAGAAGTTTGAACGAATCCACAAAAAAAAGAAGCAAATGGATGCGGAATTTAATAAAAAACTTATCAAGCTAGTGAAACAGCACGAGTGTTTGTACGATTTTAGCGCACCAGAATATAGAGACCAATCGTTAAAGGAATTAATTTGGAAGAAAATTGCAGACGAGTTAAATACGAAAGGTGAGGGTTGTGTATACAATTGAATTATTTACATACATGCGTATGTATGTATGTATGTGTATTAGGGTGTTTCATTTTTAGGCAATATTTTTGTTCTCTGTGCTACCTGAAAATATGATATTTTATAGAAAATAAAAAATTATGCATTTGAAAAAGAATTCTATCTGCCCGTTTCACAAAAGCAATTTAAGTGACAAGAACGGAAAAATGACACTGAAGATGGCACAATGCCGAAACCGGTTTGTCTGCAAACCAAACTTGACAAGGGATGACGGAAATTCGTTCCAAAATAAATGAAAAAATTTGTTTTCGGTCAGATTCCATATGTATTCAAATTCAATTAAAAATATCAAAAATGTTCCTTATGATTCATTTAAACCATTTTTGAGTGATAAGAGGCCTCGAATGGTGTCGATTTTCATTTCATCAAATTTCAAATCACTCAGTACCGCTAAAAGAATTTTAACTTAAAAAAAAATAAAAATAAAACCTTATTGCACATCCTTGTACCATCCCAGTTTTTTAACTTAACTTACCATTTTGGAAATTCCAAATAAGAGTGCAGATGTTATGACATTCAAATAATAGGTGGACACCCTTATTAAAAATATTATCAGCTTAAAGTTTTCTTAAAACTCTTTCGTTTGACACAAATTTTTCGATATTTCATTTAGCTGGTGTATAAGTAAAACAAACTCGAATTTTCAACCAGGTGGCAATCTCTTTAAAAGTAGTTTCAGACTAAAATCTTTTTAAATTCTTGCTATCTGGTATTTTGATATGTACGTATTAACTGATGAATTAAGTTGAATTTGATTTTTCTTAACACATGGCAACTCTCCTAAATACAGTTCAGAAATAAATTATTTTCTAACCCATTTCGATTGACACCCATTTTTTTCGCAATCCATTTAGCTTAGTTAATAATTTTGATTAAATTTCTTCAACAAGTGGCAACCCCCTTTTGACACCCTAAAAAAAATTCTAAATATTCAAACTAAGTATTTCTTAACACTCGATATCCATATTGTAAAATTTCATGTAACTTGTGTATAATTAAAGTAAACTCGTATTTCAAAACAGGCGGCAAACATCTTCAAATTTATTTTCGAACTAAAATCTCCTTAAATATCTTTTGTATGACATTGTTATAAATATTTGAGTTACCTGATGAATTAAGTTGAATTTTATATTTCAAACACGTGGCAACCCTCCTAAATATAGTTCAGAAGTACAGGATTCAAAACCCATTTTCATCTTTTAATAATTCAATTAACTTATAAATAATTAGAATTTAGCCTTTTAAACTGGTGGCAACCCTCGACCACATCAAAAACATTCTAAATTGTCAAACTAAAGTTTTCTTAAAACTCTTTTACTTGGTACCCATTTTTAATATTTCATTTGGGTAAAAAATAATTTAATTCGACTTTTCAAATAGGCGGCAACCCTCTTCAAAATATTTTCAAACTATTACCTTCTTAAACCTCTTTGCTCTGAAAATCATATGGTGATATCTTACATTAGAAATTAACCTATAATTAATACTGAAAAGCTATTAAATTTTTTATCAAGAATTTTAAATTGTGTAAATATAAATTTTGATAATAGCGAGAGGTAATTTTTTTCATTTCTGAGTTGGTGGTAACATTATTGTATTCTTATTAGCATCCGGAAATTTCTTGCTCTACCGAAGCTGTAAGTGTACAGTGTACACTAAGATTTTTCTTTAATACCGAAATATCGAATTGAAACAAACAAAATTTTTCCGAGCTATTTATGTACGTATTAGGGAAAACGAATTTTTAAAAGAGCTAAGCCCTTAATGTGCCTAGATTTTTTTTAGACGACTTAATTTTTTAATTTCTATAAAGTTTTTTTTTAAGTTTTAGGTTTTTTTAAAGTTTTAGGTTTTTAGGTAGCACAACAAAAACATCGCCTAAAATGAAACACCCTAATGTTAATGCATACATACATATGCACATTTCCATATGTTTATAGTTGTATGCATTTATGTACGTTCGCACTTTCAGATGCGGAGTGCAAGAAACGCTGGAAATCGCTACGCGACACATACACAAAAACAATACGAAAATCACATCTGACTACTTCAGGTAAAAGACTCCCAAAAACAAAGTATAAATATGCTGACGAGCTATCCTTTTTGCGTGGCATCAAAGAGGGCAAACAGTAAGTGTTGAAAATGTGTTCAGTTTCTCCTAAATAAGTACCTACATACCGCACAGCATATACTAAAGAGGCACAACTCAAAGAAAATTTAGGTCGATAATTAGTTTTGCATAAATCAATTCATAGAATTTATCAACAATTAATGCAAATAAGTAAATATATTCTCTAACTAGAAAACTACGACTATACCTGTTGCTGAATTAATTGCGTCGCATCTGTATCTGCATCCACCA